CCTGTCCCTGCCACCCCACTCCCACCCCCACACACCCCCACCCCGGCAAAGCGCGGCTTTCAGGGGCTTCCCCAGTGCATTTTCCCTGCCTATTTAATTGCTGCGGAAGTTTCAAAGAGCACTGCGGATCAGCTGTAAGGCGGGGAGGGGGAGGGGCTGGAGCGGGGAAGATGGCTCCCGGCTCTTTTCTGGGACGATCGCTTCACCCCCCTCATCGCAAGCTGTGCAAAATGGGGCATTTGCGATGGGGGGGAGCCATCATTGCAAAGCGATTTTTCCCTATAGAGAACATCACAATGCGATGGCAAAAGCCATGGCAAAATTTTCATCGGTATGCGGATTCGTCGTTAAACGGGGCACTCGTTAAGCGAGACACCACTGTATATGTTTTATATTTTGTGTTGTAAGCCGCCTAGAGTGGTCGTAGTAACCAGATAGGCGGGGTATAAATAAATAAATAAAGTTAGCCAACTAATTCTTCTGATCATCTCTAAGTGCAGAAGGGTTATTCCCCTCCCATTTCAGCAGAAAAGCAGCTTAATTTTCTCTTCCTTTCCTTCTCTGTTCATCATTAGCAAAGGAAAAATGCTGCCAGTATCTCAGCATTGCTTACATGTGACCCTTGGTTCTCAGCTCTATCTATTCAAAGATCTTTCCTGGAGCATGCAGTTTCCTCTTTAAAATCTTGAAAATCTTTCCTCTTGAATATATAGCAGAGCTTTCTTATAGTTTTGCATCTTTACTTTCCTTTGTTCTTGTAAATAGTCTATAACCACTACTAGCCTTTGCAGTTTCTAGGGCATTATTTCAGTCACTATTAATATTACCTGTCTACACAGCATAGTACTTGTCAGTAGAATGTGATGATTTATATGGAAAAGAATTGCCTTATCTCCTCTGCTTTACTAGAGTTTTCTGCTGTTTACTTGAGAGGCAATTCTGATTTGCCAAAAGTGAGTGATATTCAGAAGTTTAATGTAACATTCGTGCATCAGAGAGTTTCATGTGGAATAGTATAATCATCCTTTTCAGTACCCTCTCAAAACTAGCCAGATTAAAACATATTTCTTACTTTTGTACCTGAAATATCCAGCAAGTGTTAGCTGGGTGTGTTTGAATAGTCACTTGGCAAATTGTATTGGGCAAATAAATACAAACCTTCCAGCTTACTGACATCTAATGTTTGTTCGGAGTAAATAATCACATCTATGTCACTTTTTGTACGTCTGCCTCTTGCTTTTTGGCATAATATGGTATAACTAAGGATGGTAGTAAAAAAGTAATTAGGAACTTGCAGCATTTCATGGGATTTATCATATTTTCAGTAGCATCTTAAACGCCGAAGTTTACATTGTTCAAGTTTTAAAAGTGAAACTAGAGTGGTTGCTTTACCTGTAGGTCTGACCCTCGAATAAAGACAGAAGAAAACACTCATGGCGGAGCTGAAGAGACAAGTAAATGTGAGAAGAAAGGCAAAAAGAAAACTTACCCTTTAATACATATGTCTTCTAAACAAGGTTCTGAAACTCAATGTGCTCAACAGTAATGTAATATTTTTCTCCCTCTTTTTCTATGACTAGATGCCTTGTATGTTCAACTGTAGAGCAGTCCATTTGAATAGAAACTGTTGCTTCCTTGTTCAGTGCCTTTTTTTAAAATCCTGAGGCTTCACAGATAGCATATTTGTTAGTGGACTAACTGAGCAAGTATAACAGTGAAATGAAATTCCTCAAAGCTACTATTTCAGCTGGGGAAGCTGTGCAGCCTGTCTCAGAAATTAGTAATTTAAGGGAAAGACAGACATATGAGCCAGTTGGCTAGCAAAGCATAAACACTGTAATAACTTTTTAAAGTATTATACTAGTGTCACACATTCCACATTGGAAAGCATGACACTTGTATGGCAAGACTATTGGGATAAGACAAAATGTAGATCAGTGATTTTTCTTATTCTTATCTCAAGGTGTAAGTGTAACTGTGTTGCCATTCCTTTTAGATGTATTAATAGCGAAGTTGTACAAATGTTTCAATTAAATAAAATTTTCATGCTATTGCACTTCGTTTGTAATTGCCATTATATAATAAAAAATACCCAGTACTTAAAGTGTGTAATGCAGTTCTTCTTTCTGATTGTTTCCTTGATTAGCCAAATAGTTCTGTGATGCTAAGAACAAGATAGAGCTAAAAGAAGCATTTTACTCACATTTATCTCAGGCTTTAACTCATGCTGAAGTTTTCTTCTACACTTAATAAATTTGTGTTCACTATGAGTGCACTTTCCTGATCTATAAACCTTGCTCTGGAAGGAAAGAAAGAAAGAAAAGTTTAGATGCAGATTTATTAGGACTCCCTGTGCCAGAGAGAATGAATTCAACCAATGCAGAAAAAGATTCATGACAATTATCAGAGGAAGATGTTAGTTAAGGATGTTTGAAAGGACAAAAGCAACTGTAGCAGGTGAATATTGAAACATAAGTTGTGATGACCGCTGACAAACTTACACATCAAATGCATTAGGGAAATTCTATAATTGCTTTAATATCTCATCATAAGAGTAAAACTCTGTTTCATCATCACAATGGTATCTTGCAAAGGGGAGCATTTGCAAAGTTGCAAATGCGGAGCTTCACTTAATAATTCCAAGTAATTTCCCCATTTCCAGAAACCACTGTGCAATATATACCGTATTTGCCAGCGTATAAGATAACTTTTTTGGCCCAAAAAACATGCCTCCAAGTGGGGGTTGTCTTATACGCTGGGTGCACTTCAGTTGGACCAGGAAGGAGCTGCCGCTGCCGTTGAGTGAGTGATGCGGGTGCCTGAGTGTCCAGAGCCCGCTGCCCCGCGCCGCTGAGCCAGCTGCCTGCTCGCCTGCCCACCGCTGGAGAGCCACTTCCCCCCTCCGCTGCCGCCGCCCGCCCACTTCCCCTCCTCCTCGCCGGCCATGAACTTCCAGGGCGGGCCTGGGCAGCCTGCGCCGCAGCAGAGCCGTTCACTCTATATTTTGAGTGAAAATGTTGGGGGGGTTGTCTTGTACGCCCAGTCGTCTTGTACACCGGCAAATACGGTAAGTTACAATTGAAAAGTGACACAGGAAGTTGCAAAGCAGAACACTCCTGTTTAAAGTACCACCTATCTTTGTCCATTTCAGTGAATGCATCTAGTCCTCACTGAGGTTTTCCTGAAGTGTTTTTTCTTTCCGGTCTTACCCCAGTCAAATTCAGTGAGCAGCCGTGGTATCCAGATGCATGATATAGATACTTCAATTCATAAGGTGATTTGTATATATGATGACACTGCTGGTAATCCATGCTGTTTGATTGCAGGTCAGATTTTTCTATGTAATAATTTTTGCCAGTGATTAGAAATGTTGCCTCTTTTTACTCCTGAAGAATCTGGAGGATCTTGTTTCTGTAAACTAGTGAGAATTTATGTGTAATCTTCTGTTTGCTCCAAGAATTATAATAACAATGGGAATGGTAAACATTAGAGATCCTGAGCCCAAGTGTTTACGTGGGAGGAATGTGGAGCAACTGAGACCTGCAACAAATAATATATCTTCACTACCAAGCAAGAGCCTGCCTGTTCAACACATCAGATAGTTCCGTGCTTCTTCATGAAGGTGTATTGTTATTAAACTTATATTGTAATTTCTTTTTAGCTTCCAAGGAGACACTTGTATCCCTTGCTACTCAGCTTTTGGGGCTCCATTTCTGTCCCCTTTTAAACTGAAAACCAAATTCATCATCATAGAACTTGCAGAGCTGGAAGAGACCCTGTGGATCATCGTGTCCAGCCAAATTACTCAAGGTGTGATCACACGGCGAAATACATTGCAGTCTGGTCTGTCTGGGGAGTAATTCGGCACGGTCTTTTCTCTGGCAATCAAGCAATGCATGGGGAACTGTGTCCCAGTCCAAGTCCAATCCTTTTTGGACCAGTTGTAGGGATTCTACTTTTGGGGTCAGGGCTGAAGTGAATCTCTGATAGACAGAAGGGTTGCTTTAAGCAGGACCACTCTTTTTGAATGTCCTTTTAAAAGAGAAAGGCAGGATAAAAATATTTTAAATAAATCATTAAATTGACCCTTTTTGGTGTCGTAAGGTGCATGCCTTTGCAGCCGTCTGACGGCACTCTCACTCAATTAGATTTACGAATGCACGTGGGGGAACATTTAGTGGCCACAGCTTTTATATACACTGGGTTGTATACTGAAGTGGGTATTTGCCATGGACGATATGACTGTCATGCTAGCAGCAACATTGTAGGATAGCTATCTACCACTAAAGTCTCATTCTACTACCTACAGTAGGTTTAGATTAGGTCCTGTAGAATTCTAAATAATTTTGTTTTTTGTTTATTTGGAAGTAGAGGGTCTGCCATTCCTGGTACAATTCTTATTTTTGGGATTCTGTAACTGGAAATGTAGCTCACACAGTTTAGAAAGGATGGCGGGAACCCCAACTCTGGAATGTTATTTGAAGCCAGTTGAAGTTTATTTTTAACAAAACATGAATAGTAGGAAATAGGTTATCTACCAAAAAGGCAAAATAGAACATTAAATTAGATGGTGATTATTTAAGTGTGGATGAACTCTCCACCTCTGTTGTCATGGAAGATCACCAAAAAGGCAAAATAGAACATTAAATTAGTGTGGATGAACTCTCCACTTCTGTTGTCATGGAAGATCGCTATCTGTTTTGGACCTATCGGAACTCGGAGCTTCTGCATGGGTGAAGGCCAGTTGAGATAGTCCACCCTAGGAGGCTTGCGATCCAAATAGCAGCTCTCAGATTTCCTGCTGCCTTAGCAGGTGATCCTGTCACAGTGTTGGCTAATATCTGGAGATGACCAGGGTAAGGGGCATTATCATCCCTAATTGCCATCATTCCCATCTGAATGATTCAACACTGGAGAGGTGGAGGGGCTGCTTTTGAAGAGTGTTCAGAAACTTCACCTAGTTCAAAATGCTGCAACCAGACTGCTGATAAGCTGGCTACAAGGAGCATATAAACTATCCTATTATAAGAGCTTCACTGGCTGCCAATGGGTTTCTGGGCCCAATCAGTGTTGTGATCTATAAAGTTCTATACAGCTTGGGTCCAGGCTATCTGCAAGACTATCTCACCCTATATGAGTCCCAACACCTTCACAGGCTTGTTTGATGACGACATGAAGGAGGGTCTTTGCAGTGACTGTGGAATGCACTCCCTCAAAAAACCAGATTGGCCTTCCTTCTTGCCCTTCATTCAATCAAAGACTTATCTTCCAAGTAGGGGATTTAGCATTCTAAGAGCTTCAGTAAACAGGAAAGTTTTCAGATAACAAAAAAATTCACTTTCCAATCCTAAATGGGAATTTTAGGAATGCCACCTTTATTGGATTCAGGGAGTTTTAAAATGTTTTTAAAATAAAATTTAGTAGATGATTGTGATGTTTTTAATGCTATGTTTTTATTGTGATTATTGTGTTTTAACTGATTGTGAGCTGCCTTGAGTCCCCATGGGGAAAAAGTTGGCATGTAAATAAAATTAAAAAGTACTGATCTATTTTACAGCTTGGAAGAGTTACTCCAGTTTAGGATTCAACACTCGTCTAAAAGCTAGAGTAAACAGCGGCAAAAAGCTCCCAAAGTAAGAGAAAAATAAATGTTTCTCGGCATTTATAATTCTATAGGGTAAGCGCCACTAGTGAAAAGCTCACACAATGTCTTCAGACAAAGTTACTGGACAATGCAGTTGTGGTTTGTGACAGATATATTTTCCCTGTTGAAAAGAATACTACTCCTGCCTCTATTATTGGCAAACTTTACCATAGCCATTATTTACTGAAGCTGCTGTTCTAATTTTTCATCCTATCGCTGTCTGAAAGCTTGGAGCCTTTAAAAGAAATATTTTATCTGAGCCACATAGAATGGCAATCATAGGGTGAAAATGGCAACTTCCAATCCACCTGCTAAGCAAGAGGAGCTTTTGGTGGATCATTTCTAATTTTGAAATGTGGTTCCTTGCCTAAAACTCTGAATAGGAGCACACTGACAGCCTGTAGGGACACTTTCATGGGTGACACCTTAAAGCATTCAGGAGGCCTAAATGACAATAGCAACTTCCTTTCTGCGAGTGTACCTGGTTTCTTTAATAGTAATAATAATGGTAATAATCAGAACTACAGAGCTGGAAGGGACACTATGGATTGAAGCCAGCCCCTGTCAAGGAGGCTTAGTGGAGAATCAAACTTCCATGTTTTGGCTCTGCAGCCAGCTACCTCGACAACTGTGGTATCCAAGAACCCATTGGGCAACTCGTGAACCATCAGGTGCCAGACCTTCCCTAACCAGGTGAGACAAAGCTGCAGGCATGCTTGGAAGATCCAGGTTACACACACGCATACCCGGAGGGTTTTAGGCAACTGCATTTGGTGCTGCTTTCTGCAGGGGGCCTGGACGCTGCAAACAGTTCAGAGAAAAGTGCTTTCAAATAAGTGGCTGAGAGGAATTTGTCTGATCTTCTGGTTGGCTCTTGTCCACTTGGCCTGCTAGAATGAGGACCTGTCTGATTTCAGCTATCAAAGGCAGCTGCTGTTGCTGAAAGCGCCTAGAGATAATCAAGATGGGGTGTTTTTTAAGAAGTTGTGGCTGTTGTAACATTTAGCTTTGGATGAAATGTCTCTCTCCTCCAATTTGATATTTCATTTTCATTAGGTCTTAATGCAAGTTATTACGGATTCTTTAATCTTAGTTTCTATTATTGTGAGATAGTTGTCCTATTGTATAATTATTTAAACCTTGAACTGCAGTTCTTACTGAATCGTCTGAAAATGCAGCTTTGAATTACATAACCCTTTTTGTGATGTTATCATAAGCTGTTTTGTTGTGTGGCTTTACCATGGAAAAGCAGCATTAACACTCTGAGGTTGAATAAGTTCTAAACTAAATGGGGAAGAAAAGCTTTCCCTCAACTGTCAACAGTAGAACTAAAGGGAATGACAGTTCCCAAACATTTTAACATCTCTCACCGTATTGGTCAGCAGCTCCCATATTTTTGTCAGCAGATTTTACAGCTCTTAAAACCATGAACACTACTAGCTGAACAC